AATAAAATATATTATAAAAATTAAATCAATAAAAAATCTAGATTTTAATTATTTTTTATAATCTTTTATTCAAGAAAATAATGATTAGTTATTAAAATATTAATATTTTAAGAAGCTTAATTTAAATGATTTTCGAAATGACCCATTCACTGATATAAACCACTCACTGATAAAACACGTTATATCATCTATCTAGTATTAAGTGTATCTCACCTCTCTCTCTTTACTCATCAATATCATATACATACATATATAAACACCAACAACAAACCCACACACACAAATCCCTCAATTTTTCATTTTTATCTACCGTACCTCGAGCCTACCTCCCAAACCACCTACCTCAATCTCCTCAAACACCCACCCACCTACTCACCATAGAAACCCGGTACCTGCATCTGCACTCCCCTCCTCATCAGCACACTCCATACAGAGTACATAACATGTCTCAAACACACACACCTCCCATCCCAAATTCTTCCAATAACAATCTCTTTTCCACATCTTCCCCCACTTATCCTTAACGGCGGCACGCTTGATTCACGAGGCAGCTGGAAAGTGGAAAGTGGAATGTGGAAGGGAAAGTGGAATCGGATTTTTATGAAGTAGGTTCGTATATTAGTAGGTCTTAGGTAAGTAAATGCCCCATCATTTCAGGGCTGAGAGGGATTTTGTTTGGGGATTTTGAGTGTTGTGATTATTGTTATTATTCATACATCTCACATCTCACACCTCACACAAAACCAATCGAAATATAATAAGCTACAAAACCCCAATACAAGCCCATTAAATTTCCAAGTTTCCGTTCTTTCATTACCTACCCACCCATCTACCCGGTATCTACACAGCACATATACCCGAATACTTATCCCAATTCCAAAAGTCCACTCTATATCATATCCGACTTGTAGTATCTCCTAATTATACACCTCTAATATCACATTCATATCCCATCCCATACCCCCAGCTCTCATCAAACATTCAACTAACCACATAATCCATACAAAAGAAAAACATTCGTCCAATTCCCGTACCTACTACCTACACATAACTTGAACTACCTACATAGATAAAACTCCATATCCTCAGATCACCACTGCGGTTACTTCCTTCTTCTCAATGCTCATCGTCCCACTCTACCCCCAGCCAAATTCCAACCTCGATATTCCAACTCCAATCTTTAGAATCTAAATCTAAATCTAAATCTACACCTACAACACCCAGAGCATCTTTTCCTATAACTTATTTTGTTACTGTATCACTATATAACTATATCTATCACTACAATCCTCTCTCATCAAATCAATCCACCTACATATAAATTACTTACTTCACAAGCATACATCTATTTCATGAATCTCACTAATACATCATACCAATAGATCAGATCATAATATACATATAATGGTAGGTATCTAGGTAACCAGCTAGCTAGCTGATGGCGATCGAATACATACTAGGTACACATACATACCACCCCAATTCAAACCCCCTCGCCTATCATCCTCCAACTATTTTCTTACCTATTTTCACTTAACTGCACGAGCGACACCACATCCATATCCAAGCTCTCTTTTCTCTTCACTCCCCTCTTAAGCTTCCCCTCCCTCTCTCCAGATCCCAATTCAAATAAAGTCACCTAATTTCTAATCACTCCCCGATCCCCAATCCCCAAGCGCAAAATACCCACCCCTCACCATCCACCATCCGTCATCCACCATCCACAATCAACACAACATGTGACAAACCAGCATTGACGTCAAAGTCCAAGCAACTTTTCACTCCGTCCGCCTTCTCTCCGCGTTCTTTCCGTCTTCTCCCGAGCTTCTCAAGCTTCTCTCGACCTTCCCTCAAGCTTCTAGTCTTCCTTGATTCTCCCGTGACCCCTCATCACATCGACGCTACCGCTCACTAAAAGCTCTATCTGAAACGTGCTACTTTGTAAAAATTACTAGGTACTGTTAGTAGTTGAGATAAAGTGAGCTTCATATTAAAGCAGCTCTGCTTTACATTCAGGGCATAAGGGTCCGGGAAAAGAATTTTCTAGGCATTAAGAAATGCTTTTCATCGTATATTAAAGTTATCGTTGTGAAATCTACAGTCATAAAAATCGTACGATGGTGTTAAAAACATACATGCACATCCCAAATTCAATTGAAAAGACAGTGGAATAGCTTTTGGTTTATTTTCAATGTTCTTAAAATTTTGTATCCATCATTTGCCCCAAACTTTTGTCAGTACTAAGTAATGTAAACCCTCGCCTCAAGTTGCAGTATGTACAGAGCTACGAGGGTTCTATAAGCCAACATGATAAATAAAAGGCGGTATCAACCGCCTCGAGCACACTTTTGTGCAACGCCATGCATGCAAGATTGTATCAAACGCTCCCTCCACTAGCACCATGCAAAGGTACAGAAGAACTTTGAACTCCAGGCCCCAATGTGCTTACCATTAACGGCTAGCACTCCACTCCATCACTATACGCCAAAACCACAAACTCCACCTAGATATTCACCATGCATCAAAGAAGAGAAAGAAAATAACAGTACAAAAGGTTTATCCCATTCGAAACCGAAGAAGGGGGAAAAGAAAACTCGAGTGTGTTCTTGGTCGACTCGAAAATCCATTCTGTGAAAGGACAAGCGGATGAAGACGGAACGCGCAGTCATCTAGACCCACATCTCGTTCTATGAGGGGAGGCCAATCAGGAAAATTAAATCATGTAGATTTAAGTTGAAGGGCGTCTTTGAATAACCATGGAGAGAAAAAAAATGACGAAATGGGTGAAAGATGGCAATATATGAACCAATTCGGAAAGAACAAAAGTGTTAGATTTGGCCCTTGATATCAATCGCGCGGAAGGCTTCAGCTTTTGCAGTTTCAAAAATCTGACCGGCCTGGCCAGAAAGAAATCGAAGGTCGCAATCTTTCTCTACTAACAAGGCCTGTCCATTGTGGTCACAAATGAATTGGGCAGCATCGCCGTCGGATTCGAATCCTAGTTCCTCCGTGACGAACCTTAATTTGACCTCGGGTTTGTAACTACGATGTGTTAGTTGGTCCATTAAAGCAATTACGATTGGATTGACTTACGTTCTGCAAATCTTCGATAAAGCAGCCAAACGTTCTCGGGCGACAAACATATCCATAAGATATGCTCCCATATTCGGAGTATCGAGGTAAAGTCTAAAGAATTTGTGATAATTGCCCAATGCTAATGCCGAACGTACACTCAATGCGTGTATTACCGCTTCGGATTCCTTCTCTGCTTTTGTTAGATCCGCGATGACATCATTTAATGCCGTGCGGTTAGCTGTGTGAATAAAATATAAAATACGATATGCCTTGAACTCCACTGGATTACCACCTATCTTCTGGGCATAAAGAGCCCGAAGTTGAGTCTGGCATTGATTATACTCACCGAGATCCCCCTTCTCCAATGCAATTCGCGCGTGGATTTCGTAGACGGTAACAGTAAATTCATTCTTGATACGCTGAACTGTAAGGTCCTGTCGCATAGATTTGAATTGGTCGCAGATATAAGAATAATTTCCTTCCTTCTTCCACTTCTTTTTCAACAGATCTAGCGTTTCCCGTAGGATGTACTCAGGGCGAACCTGTGAAGCAACGGGTGCAGTAGTCAAACGGAAGTACTCTTTTTCTAATGTTGTATTCGTACCGATCAAGGGACCCATCATTGGTTCCGGTGTAGGTGTTTTAGATTTATAGGTAGATTTATAGCCACCATCAAATCGTTTTTGTCGCTTCTCTAGGTTCTTCTGAAACTTACTTGTACCTTTATGGGAGAGATCGTCTTGGAATGGTTGTTGTCGTTTATCAAATCGTTGTTTGGAGGGTGTTAAATTGGCACGATCATCATTTCCCGCGCGGTTGTTAGCACGCCAGGGCGGCATTGCTGCGAGGTTCTCATCACTGCCTCCTTCTATAGATTTTCTCTTCTTGGCCGAATTCGCAAGACCGGTGGAAGCTAGTTGAAAATTCAAGGATTCCTGCTGCCATGCAGCGGCTGCCTTTGCTCGTTCTCTTTGTATCAATTGTTGAGGAAGTGGATAATTATCCCAATCACGGGAGAAGAGTGTGTCGGTATCGGATGCCTCGGTGATGGTCTTTTTTAACATATTTTCCATGTCTGGACGTTCAATACCGGCGATGGCATGCGCGACATCGAATGAACGTTGAACGTAATTACGGACTGACTGTGGCCAGTCTCTCTTCTTCTGGACAGGAGGTGATATTGATTGAGGGGGTGATTGCTGGGGGATTACTGCTGGGTTATACATTATGGGTGGGGCTTGATTAAATGATTGTCGAACTTGCACTGGATGATAAGCTGGGGCAACTATCGGCGCGACTGTGGAAATTTTGTCAGAAACCAGTATATAGATATTAGAACAAAAAGGTATTGCTGGAGCTGTGGATTTCTCACCTTGCTGATAGCCATATGAGCCTGTCGTACCTGGAGGCGGTGGAATATTAGAGTTCCATTGTGAAGCCATCGTATTGTACATATAGGACTTATGCTTTTACGCTCTTAGATATTAGTGATGCGATACAAGAAACGTAACAAGGTCTTCGATAAGAAAGACTCTTGAGAAGATGGTGTGTAGAATGTATCCGGGGTTTTTTTATAGAATAGTTGTCGACGCTGTAAGGTGGTGGAATGTTTTGTAAGAATGACTGGTTTGCCTAGGTGGAAATGGACAATTAACCGAATGAGTTGTCGTATAGTCGATCAGTCACGAGACAGGAAAGGCGGAAAAAAATTGCTACGGTAGTCCAAGTAGTCAGGATTGCCCAATTTACAGCAGTAATGATTGCATCATGATAAGGGAATGATAGTGAATGTGAATTTGTCTTAACCTTCTGCAAGGACCTGCAGATGCTGCAATCGTTTGTTCTCACTGTTCCCAGCAGATGTGCACTGCAGTGTCCCCAGACAGATATCAGAAAAACTCTCAGTACATGGCTTGCGTGGACGAATGTTTTTAAAACATTTAGACCTCACGACTGCTTTGAGGCCTTCTTATTTGCCAGATGAGGTCAACCTCTTTGTCCAAGACAATGTTGGGCTTTATGAGGGGTAAGTGTATGCGCAAGCAAGCAATATGAGAAAGAGATTTGCTTAACTAAAATTGTAAATAGGAAATACAAAATTCCTGATCATCAGAATGGTCAGGTCTACTTGACATCTCATCGAATATGTTATGTAGACAATAATGACCCAAGAAGGAATTCTACAGCAATAGATCTCAAAGACGTTGATCGTTATGAATTTTACGTAAGAGCTCCTAGCTATATTCTTGAGGGTATACATAGTTAATATCGTTACAGGCTGGTTTTTTGAAATCATCCGCCAAGATTACTCTTGTCCCGAAGCCTTCGAAACGATCCTCAGTCCAAAATCGAGCTCTAACAAGTCTACATTCTCCATCCAGAAGTGCAACATCATCTCCATTATCACGAACCGATAGTCCATTCCATCTGCCAGCTTCCGAACCTACACCCGCAAGTAGCGCGACATGGATCTGCCCTATCTGTTCTTTCTCGAATCCTGTCCCCTCGAATTTCGATCCAGTCACATCCAATGCAAACACTCCTTTGCCACCATGCTTAGCATGTGGCATCAAACCTCCGTTCGCTCTTATTCTTAAGGCAGCTATATCGAGTGCGGGCAACAGACCGACTCCCTCTACTACAACCCCGGTTAAAACACTCTTACCAGTGAGAGGTCGGCCAGATGCCCCTCGTCCGCAATCTGATTCTTGGGATACACCCTCGAGTCATTTCGGAGTTGAAGATGAGTCTCCCTCTGGTGGAGCCAATGAGGCATCTTTTGCTTGTCCTAGATGCACGTTCTTGAATCATCCATCGCTCATGGCTTGTGAGCTTTGCGGGGCTCCACTACTGTCACAAGACCTCCCAACTGGATTAAGTCCCTCACAACGACGTAAACTGTCCCCAGGCCCAACATTGAATAATCTGCCAGCGCCTGGGACGGAAACCAATGAGAGCATCAAATTGTCATTTCGAGGTGGTGGAGAAAAAGTGTTTCTCGAACGTCTCAAAGCATCCATGACACAGCGTAAATGGCTTCTTCAAAACGCTCCCCCGATACCCAAAACCAATCGTCATGTTAGGACAGATAGTGGATCAGGGTCGGGTAGTTCTACACCCAATGGCGAGCGGACGAAAACGGTTGGAATCGCAGGCCTGGAACAAAGACGTCTTGAAGTCCGTAAGAATAATGAACTTGTCATAGGAAGTGCTTTTGAGGATCTCGACGCATTGATGGCATCGGCCAAAGAGATTATTGCTCTTGCCGAATCATTTGCTAGCAGTAATAATGCAAATGGAAATACTGAATCTAATGCAGTTGCAAGTGCCCTTGGTTTAGTAACGACGAAAGATATGCTTGGTGGTGGGAGCAATTCCGAGTCATTGTATATTTCAGAGTTGTCAAGGAATCTTGCAGAGTTTCTCACAGATGATGCTAGAGGAATCCTGCGCAAGACTGGAGGTATTATTAGTCTGGTTGATTTATGGGCTACTTTCAACCGTGCTCGGGGTGGTGTTGAACTCGTTAGTCCGTTGGACTTCGAAAAGGCTGCAAGATTATGGGAGAAGCTGAAGCTTCCTGTACGATTGAGACAGTTTCGTAGTGGAGTACTAGTGGTTCAAGGCAGTGATAGAACTGACGAAAAGACTATCAAAACTTTGCTGGCATGGTTGAGAGATTTGCACGTATTTCCACCGGAGAAGGAAGTGCCATGGGACTGGCAAGAATTTGGACAGGGTGTCACATCACAGGACGCCGCAGAACGTTTTGGATGGAGCATAGGAGTAGCCGAAGAAGAACTTGAAATGGCTGAGGAAAGAGGTGCTTTATGTAGGGAAGTAAGTATAGAAGGCGTGAAGTTCTGGGAGAACTGGATCGACCCAGCGCAGTCGCCAGCACCCAATCTACAGCTAGCCGATGTTGGCAATCTTGCTGCCAGCTACATATAACATACATGGATTACATACTTTGAATAGTAAATAAGTATATCAAGCATAAATGTAAAAAGTTTTTGTACAGCTTTCTAAAACTAAAAGCCAAAAAGTCTTCAACTGATAAAGCATGAAGTGTGAAGTGTGAATTATTTCCCTCCATCTCCAGTGTTGAAGTCTTCTGAAAATCATCTTCCTGCATTCTTTATACATTTTAACGCGGGAACAAGATTGCCTAACACTATAAGTCTCTTTATGTTCTCATTTTTTTCTTAAAAAAAAAAGAATTCCGGCCCTAATGTAAATTTTTAACGATTCTCTTCCATTGACCTGCAGCCCTCTATAACATCCGCAATGCCAGAGTTATACCATACGGGCGAAGCAGATTAAATACAACTTTCCATTGCCATCCTGCATAGATACCAGAATTTCGGATCCGATTCTCCATCACAAGCGAGAATACATCCAGCTACCAAGCCTGCTAACATGGGGTTTCAAGATCATTCGACGAGATCTATCTCAACCAAAACAACAGGTTGTTAGAGAACATAGGAGCAAAGATACTTGCGTCGAAGTTCATGCTCATTTAGATAATGTAGAAAGCTAAGTGGAGAGTCGTATATGACAAGCGAAGAGCCACATAGGAGGTACGGTAGGAAGGGTAATGGATATCTCGCATTAATAGTACAACAACTATTTGGCATTGCATTCGATGAACTTACTAGCTGATTTATTCTTCGTGTAAGACTTCATCTTGCAATGCGGTACTGAATTCGTACGGGCATCTACTTATTACTGCTGTCGACAAAATATTGTAAATGTAGCCAGGTACGGCTAGTAAGACCATCATGTTTGTGTACAGCTTTGTCTTCTTCTATTTATATCACTCTCTATTTATGATATGTTACTTGTTTAAAACATCACACAATATCTTCACATATTGAATCTTCAGAACTCCAGGCAATCAACCAACATACCCTACATTATCTTCCATCTTCCCTTCACTATCAAAGTATCAGGCAAATAACTTCTCTGCCTAGACTACTTCCACAGCAAAAATGGACACAGATATGACCAGGCCATCAAATTCCTCATCACTACCGATGGTACCAGGCCCAGAGACTTTCTACCAAATTCCCCCAAACTTCGATCAGTCGAGATCTTCAACCTCAATTTCTACATCACAATTCCAAGGTCAATTACTTTTACCCAGACAGGATACCCTAAGCCCCGAAAAGGAACTAAAGAGCGATAGAGTCATGAAGGGAGTCATTGGACTCAATTTCCGCCCAGGAGTGGAAATCGGAAATGGAGATAGAAATTTAACTTCTGCGCCGAGTGTGAACCCAACTTCGACCTCCTATTCAGAAATTTCGAAGTCGAATCATTTCTATGGATTCTACTGGACTTGTTATCATGAGATAGCCGAGAAAGCCACGGTCTTGGGTAGTATGAGAGGTGTGGTAGAGAGTGCTGTTAAGGGACTGGTGGGTTATATCTCCTCTATTTTTGGGAGGACTGAGATGATGGGGTGAGCTTTTGCTAATTATGACTTGACAGTGTAAGAAAAAGAATTCGCTTGCGGAGAACAAGTGTGAAGAGTGTGGGCACTTGGTTTGTCGAGACTGTGAAAAGGTTGCCGAGTGCGAGTAGGTAAATTGTGGATGGGAAGTGCGGAATACATGGAGAAGGGCTGTGTAGGGAATAGAGTAGAGAAGTGGATCGCAAAGGGAGGAAAGGCAATTGATTGACGATCAGTGATCATCTTCTTAAGGTAGAAGAATTTCAGCAATACATTTTTATGAGGTTGCAGCAGTGATTAGTAGTATGGTAAAATCGATGTCAGCATATTGTGTGTACAATCACGATTACTCCTGGAAGTAAATTGAAAAAAATGCACTCTTGTGTGACTCGAATACAATTTTTTTACCAGATGACTGTGTGTTAGAATAGACACCTAGATAGAGTCAGCAGAGAACTAAATCTTTTGACTCTTCTCCTAATCATGTATGAATCCGCCAGATCAAACATTCATATCTCACAGTATGCGAGCCAGAACTAACTTGTTGATGTTCTTACCCTTACCCCCCACAGTCTGGAAACCAAATCAAATCCCAAACCAACAAAGTTTCCAGGCCTGACTTAAAACTAAGACCCAAGACCATAATTTAATACATAACAATCAACAGGCCAACCATGCAAGTTCCTCAGGAAGAAACCTTTCAGTGCTCTCGAAGACACATTCAAAAAGTAAGTCACCATTGCCTTTTCCGCACATTTATCACTAAAATTTATTGAACAGAAAGTAGAAGCTTACACTGACTACTGTATTCGTGGCTGTCCTGAATATTGCGGATGCTACCGCCACACTTCTGAGAGTGGTCGCAAAACCCAAAAGCTTGCAAGGCGCGAAAGAATAGTGTCTGAAATGGAGATAAAAGTGACCAGAGAGAAAGATCGACTTGCTGATAGGAGCACGTTTCTTGAACATTGGAACAATATGATCTCATTAAGAAGTGCTGTGGTCTCATCAAGAGAGGCTTTACTTGAAAAAGCGAAAGAAGAGTTCGAGAGAAAGAAAAATGAGCTTCTTGCGCCCAAAAGTTGGTTCGAAGAGATCGCAGAGTGGTCCGAAAATACATCGCAATGTGCTCAAGACGGCTCATCGTATGGCTCTTATGGAAGTAAGCCCCGTTCTAATAGTAATGGCTCGCTTCAACCAACCCGTGCGCTGGATTCGGGAGAGAGACCACGTCACCGCCGTTCATTTCATGGTGACCGTCCAACGCAACCGCATGAAGAACCAAGTCGTGCGAGAAGATCTAGTTCTGCCAGTTATCATCATCGCCAAGATTCGAATCAACCTGCTATACGGATAACACCTCCAGGAATTTATGCAAACTCAATACCGAATGACTGGGGTAATAATTATGAGTATTGAACTCTACCCAATAACATTTTCTCGCTACGACAACCTGCATTATTTCAACACACTTAAGTGATGTTTTCGGGTTTACTTTTTCTTGGAAGGATAGTATGAAGGATATGAAGGATATGATATTAGAGCTTTTTAATACATGTGCTGAGATTGGGAGTCAGCGAGACTTTATTAACACATTCAAAGTCATAATGCGAGGGTGATGATGAGGATAAGTGTACAAACACTTTCATGAATGCGGCCAAATATTTCGAGGTAAGCTTGACTTAAAATACATTGCAAGTAGTAATATGTGTCAGGCCACGGGGTTAAATTCATGGAATTCGATGATCAAAATAATACTTACATTTGTGCGGGTTTCCAAGAGGCTTGTCGGTTTTTCGTCATTCTATCCAAATTTGGAGAGAACGAACGGAAGCAACTTTCTTATTGGATTGATAGTTGAGAGCTGTGCGTCTCTGTGTTCTCACACTCTTTCTGTGCCCTTTTCCTTGCTCCTGACCAGACCAAATCGAAATCAGGATCTATTCATACTTTTCGAGATGATGAAAGACACAGTGGGTAAATAAAATGATGACACGGTGATTATGACTAGGTCCCTGGGTAAATTGTAACGCCCAGGGTCTCGGCGCCATTCCACCACTTACACAGACAGAATTACATTTCAAGAATCGTTTAGATCGATGATCCTCAAATGCTAATTATCAAGAAAGAAAAACAAGAAAGCGTGTGGTAGACTTGTTTTAAACCTTTTGGCTTTCGAGAAAAGAGATACAGATCGGATATGATAATTCATGAGTGGCCCGAGACTTGATTTTGGTGAATTCGAGAGAATGGGAAGATTCTCAACTACAGAAATAGAGATTTGCTTTATCAATGCTAATCTGGCGGTAATGCGAGTCAATAAATAGTCTCATACCGGAGGGATATTTTAGTAGTCTGTCTACACTCTTGCTTCTCCGGTTGTACTTCTCCTAGACATACACCACGAATAGTCCCACGAGCCGTCTGTTACAGAAGTCTTCACAGCGTTATCAAAAGAAAGATGACAAAGATGCCCGGGCTCACGATAAGGCCAATCATATTTACCAAGGATGCTAGATTTTTTCTCGGTTTCTGGAACTTCATTTTTATTAGTGAAGGCGGAAACATCGGGTGAAGACTTGCGGATTTAGACGAGAATAGTTTGAAGAAGGCGTTCCCACTATTTTTGTACTAAGCTGGAAACTTGACTTCTAAATTCGAGAGAGATTGAGAATATGTTTAGCATTGGTGATTAGCGACGGAAGAGATATTATATATGCCAGGGACTCATTGTTTGCGATTGGATGACTAAAGGGGTAAGTCTCATTTCACTTTAAGCACGCAAATTGGGCGAGGAGGGGAATTATCATATAGAATGCAGAGAAGTATATTTTTGGTGTTTTTCCGTTGCGTATTTTTTTAAAAGAAAGAGTTAAGAAAGCTTGAGAGAAGCAATGGAAGAGACTCCACTCACCAGAAGTAGTCAGGTGGATCCTACGGATTTCAGAACTTACCGCCAGCCTGGATTCTCAACTACTTGTCCTGATACTTTATAAGCTTAATGAACTGACTCTGGCGGCGAGAACGCTTCTGTTCCTTAAGACAATAACTGCAAACTTTTTTATTATTATCGCCAAGCCAAAATATAATTTTTGGAACTTTGAATGTAGAGCCTGCCCTTACGGCTGCGAATTCATTGTGGGAACTCTCCACTCTGAACATCTTGCGAAAATACTCCGTCCAGCTATCTCGATTCACCTGCGAGTTAAACAGGTGGAAAAGCATGCAGTCAAAGTGTTGAAGAATTAACTCGTCCTGGTCTTGGAAAATGAAGTTTTCGAAAATGATAGGTATCATTTTAGAAATATCATCCTTTTCGACTGAACAAACTGCGACCAACAATGTGATAGGGGTGTTATTCGAAGTCTCTTGATAGCCCAAGGGTGGATCAAAAGGTTCTCAACTTGTTCGTCTATCCTACGGCGCCAAGGTGAAGTCTCCGAAGGTAAAGGTATATTGTACAGAAGAAGATCACGTTTCCATTCGTGATCATGATCCACGGGAGTGTTTATGAGCCTATCAAAATCGAAGATGTCTTGATCCGGATTGAAAAGAATGGACAGCTCCAGAGGACGCGAAGGCCATTCTGCGCGAAGTTTCTTGAAGCTGAGAGTTGCCTGGTCTATGCAGTAAAAACTGGAGGCGCTTGAGGGCTCAGACTTCTCAAAGAAACTTGCCGGCAAATACCGAGGATAAAGATTAATGTTTTCAGATATGAAAACAATGTTTTGATAATACCTAGCTATTTCATTTCTACTCTCAAAACAGGCCCAGAATGAGCGGGCATGCTATGATATGGTACAATATTAAGGGGATAAAGAGGTCGTGGAATTCAGGATCTAAATCCGTCATATCCATATTCCCCAGATAACATACAATTGCTATCTTGAATTGCACGTGGAAGAATGGTGAACTCCCAGATCATTCGCCTAGTCTGTAGTGGAAGCTTGGGAAAGAGATGGAATTCTGTGAGAGCTTGAGATGATGGTGTGATAACTTGAGACTGCTCAGGGGCGTAGCTTTCAGTCTCAACTTCGACATCTATTTCTATGTTTGCCAAATCTCTCCAAGCATCCATAAATAGCTTACGCTCGCTTATCTGGCGTTTGCGACTGACTTTGAATGAATTCATCTTGTTTGATGGATGTTGATTTTGTTGACTTGGATGTGTCGTAATGTACGAATAGAAGTCTTGCTTAGGGTTGAATGAGCTTGTAGTGAATTGTGTGGCTAAGTGATTTTGTATGGCCATGATTCACATGGAAAAACATTGCTTTTATATTCCGTCGAGGTATTTGTCGCATCGTTATTTTCGAGGTGTGCGATTCCTGTACCAATTGATTTGCGGTTTACTTTAGCCGATACTTGGTACTTTGAGGAACGAAGCAACCGTGAGCACAAAGCCATCGGTCAAGGCAAAGTTGTCATTTTGAACAAAGAAAGAACAATTACCCATGGTAAACGTAGAACAACAGCGTTAAACAGTAACTTTCCAACAGTAACTCTTCAACAGTTGTTCTCTTTCTTTATTTAACCTACTATGCTCCAGGAATGCCGCTGAGAATCGAAACTAGGCGAGACAAAGAGTGGCTGATACGTCCATCAGCCAGCTATCAGTTGACTTCCGCTTCTCAGCCAATTCGCTGGAAAAGCACCATAATTTTCGCTCACTCACTGATGAGCTTCCGAGTAGTAGAAATCTGAATCTTAAGCGGCGGTGAATTTGCGGGAAAATGAAAATGGACTTTTGCTTCTCTGGTAATTTTAAGAGTTTTTCATGTGGATTTCTCTGCGAAATGGCCTGTGAAGAACAAATTTCGCACTTCAGTGCCCCTCAACATCACACCTTTTTTGAGATTTCTGAGATAGTCGATTAGCTACTAATTGATGTAGAAAGGTACGACCTACCGATGATTTTAGATGAAAGCTTCCGCTACTAGCCTAGATGGAAAGATGCCCGCCAGCGCTGTCAATTAACCCACTGGTAAATCGCTCTCGCGATAAGAAGAGGCACAATAGGGCTAGTGAAGATGATAATAAAGAATGAACAAACAATCGACAAAGAGTGTCAATTCGGTAGAGCAGGCAGAAATCGAAGGGATATTCAATGAAATGAGTGGCAAAAAGATGGAACTTTGAATGTCTTGAGTGAGGCAATAGAGTAGCTTGCTAGATGGGTAAAAGGTCAGATATCACAAAAGACGATTGGAAGCACCAGGCTGTCATATCAGCGGAGGTTTACATAGATATGAGCTTGTTGAGACACATTCAAAAGAAAGAGCTGGAAATTAGGTTATGCATTGATTGGGTGATGGATGGTGTTGTGGCCCACAATTTAGTCTGATCTCCGTCCGGCGTCGAGGGGTTCTTGTCAAAATCAACAATGCTGAGCATCATTAGACTGTATGAGAGGATATGTATATATTGTCTACAAGAACAGGATTAATTTGGTGGACGATGACGAGAGAGACGTGTGATTGTTGGCGTGTACAGATTCTCCTCATTCCCCGAGGTTGAAGAGAGGATAATGAATAAAAACAGCTAGAAAATGAGAAACTCGAAGTTGATCGAAACAGTAAGAAATTGGAAACGATAATTGGAGCTTTATGTGGTATTATCATATTGACTTCAGAAGATGTAAGTTTCCTTCGAAAATGAATCACAATTGATCGTCGTCTATTTCTACCAGGAAAAGAAAGGATAGACCACGTCTGAGAGGAGAGATGAGAGGAGAAAAGTCTAGAAACGCGGGTGACGAGCCAAGTGCGCCGATGGAGTTGAAAGAATCGGCTATAATGGATTGAATTCTGCGCGGAGTCCAGTTTATAGTGATCAAGCCGACTTTTGAATTTACTGGAATGGAACAACTTTACCATGTGTTCTGAGCCAGTATTGATCCTCCAGAGAACAATAATTTACTCGGATAATCCTTCCAAATTTGGCCTTGCAAAGAGGTCGATTTGGGATAGACTTACTTTTCGATTGACAATCTGACAGTATTCGTGAGTGGATGCATGTTATGGCAAAGACTTCGCGCTCCATACATTTCGAGTTAGAATTTCCTGCATCCTGTTCACATCTTACCATGCAGTTTCTACTTATGTGCAGTACCAGCATTACTTCATATCAGGATCACTAAGTTTTGATACACAGGAGGAAAAAATCAAGGGGAAAGAAAAGATTATGATAATAAAAAAGGAAACTAATAGATTCAATGAAGCCAAGGAAATAGTAGAAAGAAATACTTAGAGCCAAGGAAATAGTAAGGAAAGATGCTCAAGGTCGAAACACAGGTTGATAGATCGGGGATTTGAAATATGAGACACAATTAAAAGATGGAACTACCCTCTTCTAACTAATGTCCCAACAATCTTCCTAGCCGTCTTCGTCTGACCTCTGCATTGCAATCACTGCATCTGTCAGGTCCTGTGCGCTGGGTGTAAGCAATAACTCTGGGAATCCTGACTTCAGGATGTCGTCGATTTTCCTCTCGGAAAAACCCCACTACTTGTTTACGTACATATGTACAATATTCAGTGGAGAACAATTTGTGGCCTGCAGCCGTGGAGTGACAAGCAGGATCTTCGATGGTACAGTGGGTCAGATTATGAAAAGGAAAAGGTTCCTCGTGATCTTGATGCCATGCTCTGAGATATTGTATGAGGGGCATGTTGAGTCGTGCACCCTGGCTGAAACCAGGAATGATTTTGGATGGCATCGTGATGGATTCAAGTTGATGCACGCTCTCACCGAGGGCTTCGACTGTATCGGTCGGATATCTTGCGTAAAGTCTGAAATCGAATGGATCTGTCAATTCTTTATCTTCTGGTGCCAGAATATCACCCCAGATAGACTGTTGAATATCATCATTTTGGGTGACGAAAAGACTCAGCTCTTGCTCGCAGACCTCGTCGACTTGGTTTTCATCTTGGCGCTGTAATGACATTCGGAACAGGCCTTGAAATAAATCAGTGGTGATTCGCTCCTCTTCGCGTTCTTTAAATATTCTGGAAGACATCTTGTGATAAATGCAGGTTAATCTTATTTTTAGTAGATTGCTAGTTGGATGTAAAAATGTCGACTTGATTAACTCCTAAACTGTATTCTCAAGTATCTATTTGATATTTCAAAAGTCAAATATGAGATCTAGGGATACGGTATTATCTATATTTCTAGGGCGAGGGTTGTTTCTTACTTGTTCAGAGATTAAAATCGGGCTTGACCTTGAGTAGGACAAAGAATACTTTCTGCGTACACATTCAAACATTGCTAACAACTCAAGGCCACTCATTTTCAAGTCGTCGGTATTGTCTTGGTCTATTGAAGACTGCTGAGTATCCATGTATCATTCCCTCCACTATCAAATGACAGGTAGCACAAACGAAGCCAGTCGTCCAAACTCTCACAAAACAGTGTCTGAACAAAACTTCTTTTCGAACTTACTGGCTCAACTACTGTAATCAGATGCATCCATTACGTTATTTTGCTGAAGATCCACAGGTCTTGCCTATAGAACAACAGGTATCTCTTTGCGATGTATCAGACAAATCAAACAGTAAGGAAGGTATTTCTTCATGCCGGGCTGGTTTCGATGGCCTAAAGACTAGTTTACTTCCTGTGTTGTATACCTGCGGGACCATATCTGCCAATACTTCGAAGCCAGTTCTGACGTCCTGAATATGTGTTCTACAAGGAGATCAAGGAGAAAGAAGAGCGACTTTTTCTGTATATAAATACAATGCGTTTGGAAGCAACCCATTTTTTCTTTCCCAGAACACCCCTCTGAACATACCGCAGAAAAGAAAAGATTGATCCATCAATCATGTCAGATAACTTTGAACCAGATATTGACTCACTCTGCGAAGCTTTCGCAAAGTTGACAATAAGGGATATGTTTAACGCCTTCTCGAGGCTTCCAGATGAACTTCAACTTATGATCTGGAAAGAGGCCATCGCAGCGCCTGTTGTCCAAGATGTGACTTGGTTGTTGACCCACAAAAATGAGATTGAGATTCCCGAGGTACTTCTTGGTATTAACAGGCTGAGCCATGATGAAGCCAAGAAAGTCTACAAGAGATTGACGCGCCTTAACAATCGAGCGATCTTCTTTAACACCCAACAAGACTCGGTATTATTGAAAGGCTCTATCAATTTATATACAGCATCGTTATTCACGGACAAGACTGTTGTCAATTCTGTCCAAAGCTCTGCCAGAATTTGCGACGTTAGAGCACCCTTGATCGATATAGATAGATATTTGGAACTTGATCCAGGTGATTGGGTCATTTTTCCATTCTGTCATCTGCAGACTTTCGTAGTTCAAGACCTGCAATGTTCGCGAAATCATCGATTGCAAGATATCACGGAGCAAATGCTCTGTAAAGCACGCCTCAGGCGATTCTTTGTGAAGCAAAATCGTAAATATCGTAGAATTATGGTTCCCGAGATCATAATCAGAGTTCCCCCACAAGGAGAAGAGTTGTGCTACGAATGCGAGGTGTTAGATGAATGGTTGGCCATGGACCACGCGTCAAGAAACCTTGCGATCGTCAGCATCATTGAAGGAAACCAAGAAACGTAGAGCATGCGCCCAGCAGATTTTTTTTTGTATAATTTGTGAGGTCATTCAAGTACACCAAGTCCCCCCACCCCTGCCTAGGTGGTCAATCAGATAGATAGGTAATCAAAGTAGCTGTACAACAGCTAACAAATGAAAGAAAATTCAAAGAAAATCCATTGACTAAATCGTAAAGTGTATCGTGATACTAGTGACTATGCGATATATCGTACCTATAGCTTACCTAATCAGTAAACATGTGACTGCTGCTCTCTCTCTCCTCAAACTATCAACATCAAACATCAAATAGCACCTCTTGATGCATGACTTTCAACATGCCTTCCAATGTTAACCCAGGTACTTATGCTCCATTAACGTTCTGTAAGGACTAAAAGGATGGCGATGAAATTCAACACATGCCGAATTACTAATATTCAGGGTCCTCATCACAGTGCTTGCACCACACCATAAGCTTAACCTACGCGAAATTTCGACCCACCAGTCTGAGCTTACCTACCTCTTGGCACCGTTTCTTTGACCCTTAATTGTTACCTCGTTGTTCCTTACAGACGTAACAAACCTGACCAACCAAACAATTTCAATTGCAGGAGGATAGATTGAGGGCAGAAATCAATGGTGTAATCCTGTACTATGAGTGCGGCACCCATTATCCATCGAAGAAGAAGAACACACCCCGCGGAAAGCCGATGACGATGAATGGTTATTCGAAGGGCAAAGAAAAGGAGAAGGACCGATATTTACCTGCGAGGAGAAGGGGAGGAGAATCGGGGAAATGGCTCGATGTGGTGGCATACGGAAGTTCTAGCGCCCTGTTGGCTTTGATTCTGAAATATGCTATCTCAGGTCAATACTGGAATTTGAACTTCTTCTTACTGGCGCTTCAGGTATGTTGGTTTGACAAAAGCTTCGTGCCTTGCGCATACTGACATTGGGATTTCAATAGTCAGGAACTGCTCTCGCAGTGATATGGTTATTGAAAAGGGGCGGGTATCTCAAGGAATTAGCAGGGCTAGAGTTCCAAAAACTGAAGACTTGTATGCGTTGCGCGATCTGAACCAATTGGGGATTGCAGATGCTAACCAGAATTCCATACAGGGCTTCCACTAGCTGTACTACTCCTCGTCTCAAATTACATATCTTACAAAGCGCTTCAATGTCTTTCATTACCTACGTACATACTCCTTTCTACTACGACCATTTTCACGGTCCCCTACGTCGACAGCATTCTGTTCGGGTCACCGATTCCTCCGTTCGCATTTAAATCCTATCTCCTAATTTTCTCCGGCATAATAATCTCAGTCATTGCGGAAAACGCGCAGGCAGAAGCCAGCTATGGAGACCGCCGACTCGAACAAACATTGGAACCTCAAGACCCTGTCATGATATTATTTCTTGGATATATTTTCATGCTCATACATCTGTTATTGTACAGCACATATGAAGCATGGAAGGCAAAGATTGTGCCGAATCTCAAATTTGGTCAATGGGATAGTATGTCTTCTCTCATTGCAAGAACTCAGGGACGGCTGACTGACATTTCTTAGTTTTCCTATATAATCATGTGCTTATATTTATCATCGCGTCAGCGCTCTCCTTCTTCATCGAGGATTTCTCTGACGAGAACATGAACGATTGCTTCCCATCTTCGATACGGACATCGACTATCTGGGCTATAATTTATACCTGCTTCGGAACCTTCCCTGTAATATTCTATTCCGCCGCAATTGTTCGAAAGTCATCGTCAAGTTTCCATGCGATTGTTGAAGCTTCAAGTAAAATGGCAATAGCCTTGCTAGGAATGTACATGTATTCGAATCCAATAAACGTGGGCAGTGTATCCGCTATAGTGATAGGATGCTCAGGCGGTATTTTGGGGGCGTGGTTAGAAGGAAAACAGCAGCAGGATGCGAAGGAAAAACGGGTGTTACCTGTTTGAAAAAGAGCCTTTTGAAATAGGCCGCTGTACAAGAATTATTTTCGACAAATGGGAAGAGGGAGCCAGGCGTTAGAGCACGGTGTTGGGTGCGGCTTGTATACTTTTAGTACAAAACCGCTGATTATATTACTTACATATTGTATAGAAATCACAAACAGAAACGATTGGAAACGGCCAAGTTACTCATATCTTTAGCGCTATGTGAGAAACTGTGTATAAAGGTTGGAGATTTGTAAGTATCAGCTAGGTATTTACTCTGTACGATAATGAATGTATATTTAATACCATTCGCATTTGATGCCTTGCTTTGTCCTAAGATGATTGGACAACTATTTTTATAGCTGATAGGGAGTTGAATCACAAAGTTCCAAAAGAAGAAAAGAATGCTGGATTCCATTTATTGCTCGCCCACATATGAGAACACGACTTTCAGTTAGACAATTAGTAAAAGTCCTACTTGAGTGGTGAAGCACCTCCTCTATTACCTTTCCTTTTCAGTTTTCATCACATAATCACCAGTACCTCACCGAGAGTGTTCTTAAGTCGTCGATGAAGTTAGGTTTCTTGAAACGGGCTCGAGAGATATTTCGTTTGTCTTTTTTCTTACTTGATGAGGGGTTTCGGCTGCATGGATCGTTTCTATAAACAAAGTGGTTTGAGGTTCGAAGGTTTATGGTTGGCATGCAGTTCGCTGTTGCTATGTTATGATTTTGAAGATTACAATCAGGAAAGGATTACTAGGAGGGTTGTACCTTTTGCTAGTTCTTGAAAAGCTTACCATTCTTCTTCTATGCATTTTTCATCTGATTGCAGTGTACTTGTGAGCTCTCCCTGAGTTTGTGGGAGGTAATGAGGTACTTGAGGTGCCGGGGTGTCATTCTATTACCTCGTAATTACAACTATATTCACGATGCAAAGGAACAATATATTCTGCCAATCACACAGATGTATATATAAATTCTCCGTATCTATATAACCGTCCCTCCACTTCAAACATAACCAAGACGAAAACACAAAGCAACGCTGAATCCCACGAGACGACAACACACGATAGCGCAAAACATTTTCGCGGTATAGTCGATCTCAGTCCAATACGCCAATCCCAATGGTGGCGTAACAGCACTTCCATTGTTCGATTACTATCTCCTTAGATAAACTCGATGTGATAAGCGCACCAAACGCCATGGGGTATCCAAATCGAACAAACAATCATGCAACCGTACCGGGCATTTCTGCCTTACTTTCCTCCACCGGAATCTCTGTAGTAGCAGCCGCAGCTGGCTTGTCGTTTTTTAAAGCATCAACCTCGAAACTTTCCATGGGTCGCAAGCCCCATCGGTTGAAGACAACAGAGTCTACTCCCCATCCAACGGCAGGTGTTGTTAACATTTTCTCGCCGGTGAATACGGCGTTGGCACCAGCCATGAAACATAAGACTTGTTGTTCTTCGCTCAGTTCTCCTCTTCCGGCAGCCAAGCGTACAATGGTTTTTGGCATGACAATTCGAGCTGTTGCTACCATTCTCAACATGTTTTCAAATTCTACCTTCTTGTTTCCTTCCAGTGGAGTTCCCTTGATGGCCACCAACATGTTCACGGGAAACGATTCCGGATGCGAAGGTAACGTAGCCACCGTCTCCAAAAGTCCAATATGATCACTCTTATTTTCACCCAGCCCCAGAATCCCCCCGGTACAAACATTGATACCTGCCTCCCTCACGTTCTTGATTGTGTTCAATCTCTCATCATAACTCCTTGTTGTGATGACTTTTGGGTAGAAATCTCTGGATGTATCCACGTTATGATTATAAGCAGTCAAACCTGCTTCCTTGAGTTCCTGAGCTTGCTCCGCGTCAATCATTCCAAGAGTAACGCATACTTCCATGCCCATGCCACGAATTTCGCTAACCATTGTTTTAACATTTTTGAGATTGGTTTTACGACCACGCATATCACGCCACGCGGCGCCCATACAGAAACGAGTGCTGCCATTGTCCTTAGCGATGCGGGCAGCGGCGAGGACGGATTCAACGGATATCATTTTGGAAGCTTTGAGACCGGTTTGATAGCGTGATGATTGGGCGCAGCTGGGTGTGAGGTGTTAGCATTATCGTCTGATAAATAACAGAAGACAAAAGCAAGAAAAGGAAATCTGTACATCTACGTGCACAGTGTAGAACAAAACGACGACGATAACAGATATATAACCACAGAGAACAGAGCAGACTCACTAAGAACAATCCTCGGAACAACCACCCGTTTTGATATTCAACAGTGTACACATCTGAATAGCTCCAGGTATGTGAAATCTTCTATGCAAACTTCCTGCTCCCCAACATAACTCCATCAATGGTTTGTCATAAATCGTCTTGATTTCTTCTCGCGTCCAGTTAGTGCGAGGTTCAGTTGCATTGAGAGCTTCTTGGTAAACATCCTTTTGAGATGTAACAGTGTTTTCTGTAGCTTGAGGAGGAACAGATGATACAGTGCCGTAGCTTTTCGAGTTCAGGGCTTGAAGACGGAGGGGAGGAGAAATGGAAGGGAGCTTGTGGGTGTTGGAGCGGAGGGGACGGAAGAGGGTGGCCCGGAGAGTTGCCATGATGTTGGAGTGAAGTAGAGATCTAATGTGGAGAGACACACTCTTCACCTCCTTCTATGAAGCAGGTATAGTAACGCGAATTAAAGAAAAATAAACCAAAATCTCTGATAAATATCTACAGCTTCCAAATCAAGCTACTGTCCAATGAATCCATCGCCATTACTACCTAATATCTAGCTGAACCGAATCGTGACTCAACGAGAGACAAAAAGGAAGGAGACAAGTCAAACGTGGAAACCAAGCTAAGTGAGGGGTTTATTTACACAACTCATTCATGTAACCCCAGATGATCCAGCGGGGCAGCTCAACAAATTATATATCCGGGAACTGTCCACTTATCAATTGTCTCATCTGATTGGCGGGGAAAAGCGAGAAATTCCCCGCTGTCACGACGTGAAGGTGGATCGGCCCGTGCAGAAGCTTGGGCTGACTGATCCTTGGCATTGCCGAGGTAAGAAATGGAGAAGATCTTCCGGATATCGCATCGGCGTTTGTAGTAGCACCGAGAAGGTAAACTTTGTTATATTGTTGGGAATTTGTTGGATAGCTGTTGTGTTTGATTGATGTTTCTTCATCAAATGGAAGCCAAAGTAGTGCAAAAGAGTCAGATCTCTTAGCAACAAAATTACAGTGCCAGAGAGAAAATACTAAGCGAGAATGCAGTACAGTACCAGTAACAATCATGTGTGAGATCCGAGGCTAAAGTTCGAAGTAAAAGTATTGGCGTTGAGACCCCGAGTGACAACTGCGAGATAGCAAGTCTTGGAACTTTGGCTATCCGTTGGTCCATCTTATTAATCATCCCGTTGAAGAAGCTCACAGATTTCTTGGAACGTTTTAGACCTCAAGGTATTCTCCGCTTCAAAGTTGTGTTATCCATTAGTTTCGTTTCGGAGAATATTATTTGGTTTGATAGCTGATTCCAGATCATACTTGGCTACATCCTCGGTTTCTCTTGGTTTGCTTTGCTGTATTGTGATTTTATATTGTTGTGTGAAGATCTTAATTTGAGTTTACGATGTGGCTTCTTCATGCGGCGGACCTATAGCTTTGCTCTTTCTGTTGGAGTCTTCCCTTTAAAACTTGCACCTACATCGGCGCTATTGATCCTCTGAACATCCTGTGTGGAACTAGATATTGGAGGAGAAAAGGTCACCAAAGTTTCATCCACCTGGCCCTTTACTCTCTTTTCCATGACCTCAATCCACTCTTTGACACACTGCACCAATCCCTCAACCTCCTCAAATGTATTACCAGCATGTAAACAGACCCTGACTCTTTCACTTCCCTTTTTGACTGTTGGACTCATTATTGCCCGCACGTTGTAGCCTGCTTTTTGACAAAAAGCAGCTAGATCCTTGGGCTCAGGTGTCTGAAGAGAAAATATGGGCGTCCAGTTTAGATCCTCGGTGTATGGCTTGGGGTTTTGATGCTGCGGTCTGAGGTAGAGAGAATGAGGTAACTGGGAGAGTAAAGATGTGAAATGATGAGAGAGAGAACGAACATGAGATTGAAGGGGGGCGGTAGAGGAAGACAAAAGAAGAGAATAAGAGGCGGCGATCAGAAGGAGAGAGGGTGTAGAGAGAGAGGTGCTGTAAATGAGAGGGCGTGCGTAGTTGAGGAGATAGTGACGCGCTAATGGTGTGGTTAGAATGATAGCTATTTGTTATTTTAGTATGTTCATAATCCGGTTGCGAGATAGAGTGTACAGTGAGAAACTCAATGAAAAGGAGAGATGAGGAACATACCACCATTTCCCGCAAGTGCCTTACCAAAAGTATGCAACCTCGCAAATATCTTTTCCTCCAGTCCTAGTTCAGAAACCAGTCCCCGCCCATTTGGCCCATAAACACCAGTCGAATGTGCTTCATCTACCACAATATATCCTCTTCCTCCTTCAGTAACTCCCCCTAACCCAAAGATATCCTCGACAGTGTCTACCACGGCGCGCAGAGGACATAAATCTCCATCCATACTATACAAGCTTTCCACCGCCACGAATACATTTCTCCCCTCTTTCTCTCGTTTCACTGCATCTAGAATTCTCCGTAAATCACAAACATTGTTATGTTCAAAGGCAATAAAGATCCTAGAACGTGACCCTCTCATGCCTTCATGCACACTAGCGTGGATTTGTTCATCGTAAACGATAACATCTTCTTTTTGAGGAACACAGGCAAAAAATGCAGAATTAGCATCAAATCCTGAGTTGAAAAGAAGAGCACCAGAGCCAAGATGCGGAGAGCGATGAAAGGTAGAAATCTGAGATTCAAGATCAAGTGCGAGGGGAGAATTCCCGGTTAGAAGACGGGACCCTGTACTACCTAAAGTTGGCGGGTTTGGTTTTGAAGATGGTGATGAATCCACGCGTGCTGGAGGTGATAAATGAGATCGGAGAAGTGAGAGATACTCATTATGTAGAAGTGTAGATGTGGAAAGTGAGAGAAAATCGTTAGATGAGAAGTCGATTGGTGTAATACCAGATGTAGTTTGTATAGTAGATGGTAACGATAAATTTCGGAGTGAGGATTTCAGTGCTCGGCGTTTGAGTGCCGAGGTCATGGATTCTTCGAGTGTAGGCATTTTGGTCTGCTATGAGATAAATGTGTAGTGTATGATTAGAACTGTGGTGACATTGTACAGATGGATACATGTAAAGAGATAATATGATTTGATTCGTGAGTCATCTCTCGACTCGGGTCCAGTATTCAAAAATTGTTGAAGTCTTGCCGAGAGCTCGGTTTGCATTAGCTGGTGACATGCTGCTTCCAGAAACGATACATTAGCAGAATTGGTGAATGCGTGCCAGCATGGATATTTCCCGCAGATCACATTAGCATGGTTTGAAGCTGTTGTGGAGATGATTCAGGGGTAAGTGTGAAAGTTGGCCAATCGGATAAATATTTATTAGTCATTCATGCAAGCGACCCCACTATGCTCTACGCACCCCTCATTGTTCGAATCTCAATCAGTGATTGACTCAACTCCGAGCTTTTTTTACTTGTTCAACTGTTTCCTTTCCCTCCCTTTGGTCAAAATGTATAAACCACCACCCTCTCTCCTTTCACGTTCGCTTCCTGTCTATCATCTAACGGCATCCAATACATCTTTGGGGAAAACTATCTTCTCAACACTTCTCTGTCGACAACTGCTCGCCAAAAAGCAAATCCCATATTATTTGAAGCCGGTTTCAACAGGACCATTGAGTGAAGCTGATGATGTACATATTGAAAAATTTGCAAAAGGATCGAAAATAGCATGCTTGTTTAGATATGGTGAAGCTGTCAGCCCGCACATAGCGGCAAGGGGCGTGAAGGTGTGTTTGACAACTTTCATTTATAACTAGGAGAGACTTCATCTTGGCTCTGTTTCCAAACTTTCGATGTTCTGTGTTCAAATAGCATTGTCCGGTTATGACAATGGGAAAGAATATATGATCGAAGAACCTTCCTTCGCTAACTTGGAAACACGTGCAGCCGCCAAATGATCACGAGATTGTTACTGCAATCTCAGATCAAGTTAAAAAATGGACAAAAAGTAATGAAAGGACAGGAGAAGGCATGATCATAGTGGAAGGTGCTGGTGGTGTACATTCGCCAACACCTTCGGGTACAAGTCAAGTAGATGCACTGAGACCTTTGAGGACGCCAGTGTTTCTCGTTGGTGATCCGAAATTAGGCGGAATTTCTGCAACGATTAGTGCTTGGGAGAGTATGTGAGAATTCCTGCTCGGATAAAATCTGAAGGAAATCGTAAAATATCTCTGGTTAATTGTGCTGGACTAATGCTGAGATAGGTTTACATCTTAGAGGATATGACATAGACTCCGTCTTGATATTCCAGGAAGAGAAGTATGGAAATTATGCGTACCTATCTAAGTACTTTCAAGAAAGAGGCATAAATACAACAATTGTCCCGCCCCCACCAAATCAATTACCAAATTTACAGGAAGATGAAGAATCTATGTCTTCTTACTACTCAAGTGTTGCTCAATCCGGCGAGATTGAAGCTCTACTAGAAGCTTCCCATCAACGAAACATATCACGAATTGAGGATCTGGAACAGATGGCCACAAAAGCTCACGAAAAAATCTGGTATCCATTCACTCAAATGAAGCATCTCTCAGCGGATAAAATACTTCCTATAGATTCTGCATTTGGAGATTATTTCCAAACTCTGTCAACCCAAAACAAATCCAAATCTGGAGAGCCAGCTCGAGAAAATCTCCTTACGCCCACATTGGATGGTTCAGGGTCTTGGTGGACCCAAGGCTTGGGCCACGGAAACCCTGCTCTCTCCTTAGCCGCAGCATATGCATCAGGTCGTTATGGGCACTGTATCTTCGCTTCCACTGTCCATGCCCCTTCTCTGAAACTCGCTGAGCATCTCCTCACTAACCTCAAAAATCCGCGTCTTTCGCGAGTTTTCTACTCTGACAATGGTAGTACCGGCATGGAAGTTGCTGTCAAAATGGCCTTGACTGCTGCTAGTAAGCATTATAGTTGGGGAAACGATGCCGAAAAGAGTAGAGAGGTGGGAATCATCGGACTAAAAGGCAGTTACCACGGAGATACTATCGGAGCTATGGATTTAAGTGAAGGAAGCGTTTATAATGAAAAAGTACATTGGTACAAAGGAAGAGGATTATGGTTTGACGTACCAAAAGTCTGGATGAAGGATGGAAAATGGGTAGTTTATGATGAAACCGGCCAGAATACCGAGGAGATATTTGATGAATTAGGAAGTGTGTTCAGTTCTCAGAGAGATAGTAGCAAGCTGAGGAAGAAGTATGAAGAACATATTTTGGCTGAACTTCGAAAGGCCAATGAACAGGGGATGAAATTCGGTGCCTTGGTTTTGGAGCCAATCATGCTTGGGGCAGGTGGCATGTTGTTCTGGTAAGTCCCATACATCTAGCTCTTTTCCAAACTTCGTTCTGACAAAAATTAAAGCGATCCCCTTTTCCAACGCACCCTAACAAATGTCATCCGCAACATTCCTGAACAACTACTGGGTGAAGCCAATCCTCCTCCCGAAGGTTACAAGCCCTCTTCAAACCAATGGACCGGACTTCCCGTCATCCACGACGAGGTATTCACAGGTCTCTACCGTCTCGGACACTTCAGTCCCTCTACACTCTTACACACTCACCCGGATATCTCAGTTCATGCCAAGCTATTGACGGGGGGTTTACTACCCCTTTGCGCAACCGTCGCTAGCGAGAGCATCTACGAAGCATTCCTTGGCGATGAAAAAAGCGAAGCACTTCTACACGGACATAGTTATACCGGTCATGCCGTCGGTTGCGAAGTTGCACGTGTAGGTCTCGAAACCATGGACAAATTGAACAGCGATAAGAATGGCGCATGGGAGGGATTTAGAAATGACTGGAATTCCGAAGCTGGAGAACTCGTCTCTAAATCTGCATCAAAGATAGAAAATGCAAGTGAGAATAATCAGGTCTGGAGTATATGGAGCAAATCCTTCGTCAACTCCATCTCTCACCTGGAGTCGGTAGATGGAGTGATCGCTTTGGGTAGTGTATTAGCTATTACCTTCAAGGATGAGCAAGGAGGAGGCTATACGTCAAGAGTCACAGAAACAGTGAGAGAAAGTATGTTGGATGGTAAGGCTGCGGGAATAGATGGGGAATGGAATATTCATGCGAGGATATTGGGAAATGTGGTGTATCTTATGGGAAGTCAGGTCATGACTACGGAGCAGGTGAAGAGCATTCAAGATAGATTGGGAGGAATATTGGAGTTGTGAGTTCAGGAGGAGCAAAGTCAAATGGGTATAGTGTACCTAATTGAAAGATCAAATAAAACTATTAAATATAGATATAGATATATTGAAGAGTTTTATTGATGAAATATATATGAAACTCCAGTGCTAGGTGAGATACTGTTTCCGAATCATTCCTGGTGAACAACGCAACCCTTAAATTATATAGTGCGAGCTGAATCTTGATATTATGCGCCGAGAGCACTCGTAAGAGAGACCGATTGAACGACTATTTAGATCGACTCATAACATTTTAGTCATGTAGACTCTAGTGGATATTGATCTGTGGAACACAGGACTCAGATATTCTAAGAGAGGATATGTCTTTGGAATAAGTGTGAGATTTGATGTAGTTCGGCGATACACCACAACCCAAACATCACATTTTCCTTGCTCGCCTGACGAAGAATACCTATGAGCTATTATAAGTTATGGTCAGGATAAAATTGCAAAAAAAATATTCAATTTTGTCTCGGAGATATCCAGAGACCATTGGTAAAAGATGAATATCTAAAACTTGCACATACACTGCATATATTCAAGTTGAAGAATTAACTGAAGTCTGGTGTACGCTTAGCCAGATCAAGTTGTGGTAATGGCAATGATTTCTTGGGCTTTGAGGTTTGAAGTTTTAGGCGATGAGTAACAACACCATACTGTATCTGATTATTACAATTGGACCTGCGAGTATAACATATTCCTCAAGAGCCTTTGATCGCAAACAAAGTGTGTATCGAGCTCAATGTTCACTACGCTACCCAAATCCTCAAATGTGCCTTCTATCATATCATTACTTATGATTTTGAAGTTGGTGACTTGGCTGGTTTCCATTCGAAAGGCAATAATTGCAGCATCAACTGCCGCTTGTGCATTAAGTGAAGTTGTTCCTACCTCAACTTGATACATCAAGTCCAGTGAGTCCCAGCCCTGCAGGTAAATGAAAGCAGAGAAGGCGAAGTTTCTGTCGTGATAGGTGCTATCATAGGAAATATCTCTGCAGTCCTCTGCTGAAGTCTCGAAGCAGTTAGGAATTCGCTTCATCATTGAGATTAGAGTGGGAGTTTGAAGTGCCGCATTAATTAGGAGCACTATTCGGTCATTAGTCACTGTACAAAGGATATAACCTCAGACTCTTACCTTTCGTTATATTGTACATTTGATGACTTCCGATCCAAGAGGGCTGTGCATCAATTATATCCCAGCTATCATTGCAGACAATATCTGGGCAGCACTTGACTCACCAGTCTAATCTAATGCTTGTGTGTAATGGATTCGTAACTCCTGGCTCGCAAAAATTGCGTACGCTAGCAGCGAATAGACCTCCAAACATTGCGATTTGTAAATAGGGTAACATTTCAGTACTCTCGTCATAAAATGCGCGATTATAATGTTGTAAATGAATGAAAACAAGTGAACTGAGAGTAGACTTCCGATCAAATAGGTCGCGAATTTCGTCGGGGGTCAGCTTTCCTCTTTTCTTGCAGAGCTCAAACAGTCCAAGAATTCCCTCTGTTCTGAAGGATTCATGAAATTCAACACGATTTTCTGGCGCTGCGAAACGCAGATAGAGTCAGTGTAGACTGGCAGTCATATAGATTTGAGTCACATACTCTGAATAGCCCATTCGCCAATTTGACGCGCAACACCAGCGATGAGGAAATGAGGCTTGGGCTCAAATATCTCCAGAGAAGAAGCAGCAGCCAGCTCAAATAGCAATCCAGGTAGCGGAGGATGTTCAGCGTAGATATTGTGCCTGCACATACTACGAATCAGTCTTCTCCAATATTCTTCTGCAACGATCACATCTCAGGTGAAACTTACAAAGTTTTACAACTGGACGAAAGGTGAATGAAATATTCACAACATGAATAACGTAATAATGTGTAAAGAGATATGGTTCTTGTGGTACTGGAGCAGGGGAGCTAGCCCCAATCAGTATTAGTAAGAGCTCCCATCCTCATAGCCAGCTATTACAAATGATTTCAGTCAACCTTCGGATGAACTCATATCCTAGCTCATGCTTACCGCTTTATTCTGTAGAAAATGATACTTAGAACATGTTGGCACAAAAAACATCACTCTCGAACCGACTGCGCTCCTTTGGATGCGCGAATCAGACACAATTCTATGTGAACATGATCATCAAAGCTCTCATAGTAGTATCATATACTGCGAAGCTTCAAACTGAGGACATGTTAGAAGACTCACATAGAAAAATAAACAACCAAAACTCCATCTGCGCAAGCCTTCTAATCGATCATCTCAGACTCACCTACATAGCATAGCGGCATCCTTCGTCAGCGATATCGGCAAGAACATAACTTGGAGATAAGAAATTTCCTCATTAGATACCGATGATACAAGGCTCATTTGCCAAAACTACCCGTAACATCATCTAAGTGGGATATAGTGAAAATCTATAACAACTTGTTCAATGAAGAAGATATTGAAAATAGTATCCATGTGCTGAATGATACATTAGAAACTAGAATCTTCTGCTGTCTCATTATAAGATATCTACGCTTTGTCACACAAGTGACTATGAAAATCAGAAAACTGTAGCCTTTCAACCGAGATATCTCTACCAACTCTTCGCCTTTTCAAATGCCAATCAAAAAAAATCACCAAAGAATCTCAATCCTTCGGCCAAAGACATCTATCCCTCATCTTCCCCTGTTCCATCCTCATACTCCTTCTCACCACGGCCATCAACCCCAATGGCACCAAAAGATCCTCTCCCAATCCCGGCTCAGTAACTTTAACCCCATGATCAATCCATGTATACTCCCTCCTCTTCACACAAACTTCCAATCCCTTTTGTCCACTATACCCAAAACTTGCAGTTCTCATAACTTCTCCCCCACTGCTTTCTTTACTCCAAGTATTCCAAGTTTTCCGAATCTTGTCAGTTGGCCTTCGGAAAACCCTCATGAAGCTTTGATACACACAATGTTTTTCAAAGAGTCCCCACATAGGAATATGTAGATCTAATTCGGGGAATGTAAGCTCTAGGTTCTTGGTATCGGTGTCTGTCCATGTTCCATGGCGTACTTCATGAAGATTTTGGATTGCAATCCCGAAATTAGGAACTAGATGAGAGGTCTTTTTTGAGTCGTAGATTTCCCCTGATTTGAGGCGGTCGAACAAGACACCGCCCCTGTAAAAAGAAGAACTGGGATCTTGAGAGTCAATGACTATAGTTCCCTCTTTCATACGCCAAGAGCGGTACAAGAGATCGAAATCCATATGTAGCGGTTTATCGCCGAAAATCCCCATGATGCGCCAGAATTGGTCGAATGGCTTACTGTTCGATGACTTAGGGCTGCGTGGAGCTGTATTATTCATTCTAGTGATGTTGAAAAGATCAATGCCAGATTTGTAGGATTCATAGTCTTTCCAGGAGGGATATGGGTATAGGCCAGGAGTTTGAGTGTATAAATGGTTGTTGTGGATTCTTGCTTCGTATGTTGTTCTGTTGTGAAGACCAAAGTAATCAACAGATGGGTCAGATAGTTCGATACGTGTGTCGAAGCCATCGCATGTAGTATCCATTTGACGTTTCCACTGAAGGCCTGGTCCCAAGAATAGTCGGCGGGTGCGTCAGTTGTAGAAAAAAAAAAGAAAAGAAACGAATTGGTACTTACACAGTTGGAATTAAAAAGACAAAAATAATGAATGTGATACACAATATAAGAAGAACCACCTTTGTAGCGATGATTTTTGTCTTTCTCCATGAGATAGAATATGATGTAGGCACCCGTCTCGATGTACTTACACCTAAATAGATTCCGAAACACTTATTGATGCTATGTAGATTGAAGCCCCAGAAAATCGAATTCAACAGAAAGAGAGTAGCAGCGGCTACAAAACAAAGACCTTGCTCGTGCTTACGAAGCTCCGCTTCTGTGAATTTTTGGTTTTCGAGTGGTGTTGTAAATTGCCGAATACGATTTACAGTCCAGATATTGGCAAAGGAATTGATTATAAGGATAGTTGTGAGAAACCAGGGATTTTTTTGGAGCTTGGCAATTGGATCAACAAGTTTTTTCTGAATCTTATTTGATCTGATAATTCAATTTAGCTAATGACTTTTTGAGAAAGGAGACGACTTTGAAGTTCAGAATGATCTTATACGAAGAGATACATACGCTCCATCTTCAATCTCACGTGACATTTGATCGGCCCTTGGAGAATTCAAAGATGTTCCAGTGGCATCTACTGTGTCAAGTTCTATTGATTGTCTTGGTGATTGTGGAGCTTGTGGTGTCTCCTGAAGATGACTCGTCATATATTTTGAAAGTCTTGACATCTTGAGAAACGGCGATTTGCCATTTCGAATTGATAATGTAACGATAGTCCTTCTAATTTTTCCAGATACGCAAAAATGAAATATTTATACATGAATTTGAGCGATTGATATAGCGATTGTAAAGAAATTGGTGGTCAAAGATTGGATTCGGGGAGAATTGAAAGGATAAATAGGAATGAACAAGTGATTAAGCGAGGAAAGTGCGAGGATTGAGGATCATCTGAAGATTTGTGACTGAAAACAGCAAGTAGACATTGACTGAAAATCATATATTAGTACGTGGATCAGTCCTGACTAAACGATGTTTTGTTCTTGCTTTCCGGATTTTGCAAGCCTTTGCTTCCTTTTTAATCACTTAGGAAGGACTTTAGTACGAGACTAGAGGCGGTAAAATTGTATGCATAATTTCAACGAGGTAGACTTTGAGACCGTATCTTCTATTGTTCTGAAATCGTCCAGGGACACACACATTACGCTATACAGTCACATAGTTGGACTTTACGTATTCATCACTAGTACTGGGTTGAAGATTGAATAAATTGAGGAGAATGTGACATATCAGTATGTAAATGGAAGGAAGGATACAATTTAGGTTAATTAGTGACTGACATGTACGACAGCGACACTCTTTGGATGATATTTATGGAGTAAGCGATTTTTGTTATCAGTTTAGATGTTTTGCGTTACGAAAGAGAGAGGATCACTCCAATGCGAAAAGAAATGAAAGCGATTAGCCAAAATTATTGATTGAATTAACGTAGAATCACTATGACGGGGCAAGACCATAGAATAATAGGCAGAAAGCGATCTTGATACGCTTTTGCCTTAAAAGACAAACGATCCCGATTCTAATGTATCCATACTACTGTCTTTACTGCTGTTGCTGCTGTCAAGTATTTCTCCTGCAGCTCTGGCTGCGTCTCTAGCCTTCTTCACCTCGGCCTTTTTCTTCTTAATTGCTCTGTTTTCCTCAGCTTCCTTCTTTTCAACTTGTCGTATTCTTTTGGTCTTTTCTTGGTAGAATTCAACAGTTGATTGTGGGAAACCAATCTCCTTGAAGAGGTCCTCTATTGAAGTTTCTTTGGAATCAATGTGTTTTGAAAGAAAGATTTTGAGATCTTGACGGTTAATCTTGTGAGCCCAGCTCACCAACTCAACAACTAAGGTCACCCAGTTCAAGACAGTCTCTGAGTCCATAATTCCTTCGTGTGATCGGAACTCTATAGTTCTCTTAATAGGATGCGAAAAGGGCTGGGAAAGATATTGAAGTTTGAAAGCCATGTAGCTGAAAGAGTCATATCCATCAAACATGCCCACGACTTCGTTGATGTCAGATGTACTGAAAAGGACATCGAGTAAGTTACCCTCGAATTTGTACACACCAAGATAGGAGCGTCTATGAAGGGACCCACAATAGTGACCATTGTTCCTTGATTTTCGAAGGAGGGAGAAAATCTGAGGTTCGAAAACCCAAATAGTTGCCATGAGATACTGGAACGGTTCAAAAGAGAAGCCTTTAGTTCCATTGCCAACATGAACGTGAAGACCGCATGACTGGTTGACAACAACATCGAAATGTTTCTTAAAAGCAGTTAGCATTTTGTCAATATCTTTTAAAGCTTTTGGACCAAATTTCATGACTGGTGTTATTACTTCAAGCTCGACGAACATCGAGGATCTGTCTGCATGTTCCTCTGCTTGGAATGATATGGTGGCATCTGTACCAATGGCCCATGTATTGAATAAGTCTTGCTGATGTATTTTGTTGGGATCTTCATTCCGGTTGGAAAAATGAGGAGAGTCCCGGTCAATCTCTGCTTCTGTCAAAATCTCAAGCCCAGTTTCAACAATCAAAGTCTCTTTGATAAGACTATAAATCTGCCCCGGACCAAGTTTCCTGTAGTCAGGAAAGGATCCTTTTTTGAAGCGAATGCCAAACTCAAATTCTACCCCAAACGTGAAATCAGTAGAGAAAAATGGTGTGGACATATTGACTAACCTTTTGATATAGCACTACTCTTGATCGACCTTTTATGGTATGACACTATTGAGTGGCAAGCTTACTACTGCAGTTCGCTTGATTATGAGTGCGCATGTGAATATTTCAATCAATAGGAAACTAAAGTATTTATCTATTGAAATAGATTATGGAAGACTTGAGAGAATTTGTCATTGGAAAGACGGTCTGTTCTGTCCTTGTACAGGCTCTATACAACGTATATTCGGTTCTTCATTCATCAAAATTTGAGAGAACAAGCGAAACAATGTTGAAGGACAAATCAGATAACTACACGATATTAATAGATTACAACGAAGAATACTTATGTTGTCTTGTTTATCAACAATGCCTTTGTATTAAGCGTCCATTCTTACTTGTCTTCGTCGCCGTGAGGTCAACAACACTAGGTAAGCTGATGAGTTCAAACATCTTCAAAGTCAAAAAAGATGTTGTGTTATTGTCATTTTGGCAACATCTATGTATCAAATGATCAATCACCCTTCCAAGATGGATCCTCAATTTGTGTGCATGGGCATTATCTTATATGAGGGCTCCTCGACGTCGAAGCTGTTTGTATGTTCATCTGCTTTGCAACCGAGGATGATTCCAAAGCGGTCATAATTCCGTAAAAGCACGTGCCGGGAGATTTCCGTCGCACGGATCTCTCGAACAACCCCGCATTCCCCCCGCGAAGATAGTTTCCTCGTACTCTTTTCTAATAAACACCATCTCATACAAGTTACAACTAACTGGTTTTTTACTTGGAGGAATAAATATAAATGATTGGCAATTGAGCCGGGTACGAGAGCGGAATGATTGCGCAGATACATGCTCACCTGCCCTGAGCTTGCTCATTAGATGAATGTCCATGACTTCTGATGATTCTCATGTATCAGCACTCGAATGATTTATTTTGGCATAAGATCTCGAGATAACCGAGCCAATACACAGCCTGGAATCCACATGGATAGCTGTAGTTATTACTCCTCATGTCTTTTCATTGGCCGAAAGGGCTGAACGGGTGATATTACATGCATGGTGATGACTTATAAGTTAGCACACGGCTGAAGAATGGATCTAATTGAAGATCATTAATTCTACTAATGGTTAGCGTGCTTAACTATGATCTATCAGGCACCATTTTCTCGCCCCATTATTTCTATCGAGGCTAGTAATATATATTAGGTAAGCCAAGTTTCGTTTTAGACTCAAAGTTATCCATATAATATTGAAGACAGTACTTCTTTTCCGAGTCCTTTTATTTAAAGCTCGGTTTTTGGTAACATCATCTCATTTTGCATCATTTCTTGTAATACTTTCTAACGTCGAACTTCATTATGGTTGTCACAGTAAAGCCAGAAGGCGCCGAATATGACTATATCGTATGCGGGTATGCTCCATCTCTCAATATTCGATTCAATGAATATCTCTGATGAACGTTCTATAGAGGTGGGACGTCGGGCGCCGTTGTTGCAGCAAGATTGGCAGAGGACCCCAACAATTCTGTTCTAGTCATCGAAGCAGGAGAGCATAATTCTCTTCTCGAGAACACTATCATGGTTGGTGGATGGTAAGAGCCTCTTCTTTTCGTTCTATGAATTGAGCTCAAACATCATGAGTAGGTCACAGAATTTCGACACGGAAGCAGACTGGAATATCTCCACAGAACCAAATACGGGGATCAACAATCGTCAAATCAAAGCCAGTCGTGGCAGGTTCCTTGGTGGATCGAGCGGAGTTAATGGTACATTGTGTATCAGAGGCACGCCGCAAGACTATGATGACTGGGAAATGCCAGGATGGAGTGGGGAGGAGGTTTTTAGATATATGAAGAAGGTAGAATCACAATTTACTTAATTTTGCCTCATATTGACATTCATATAGGCAGAGAACTTTCACAACAAAGACTGGTTTGAAGCAAATGATTCGGTACATGGTCACGATGGTTTACTGGATGTTGAGCCTCATGATCTGGTAAGTGGCATTACAGGCAATTATTGATAAAACAAACTGATCTTCTTAGGCCCCTATATCTAACATGATTTTGGATTCAATGGCCGATCAAGGTCTTCCACTTCATCCAGATATGTTCTCAACTGGCGAGACTCCAAATGGTTGTGGCCATGCACCAAGGAGTGTGTATAAAGGAGACAGAACTACCTCGGCCAATTACTTCATCAACAAAAGATCAAACCTTGCGATAAAAACTAGCACCATTGTCGATAAAGTGATTCTCGAAAGCCATGCGTTCCCCCATGAGCTGAGAGCTACAGCTGTAAAAGTAATCGAGAAAGATGGAACAGAAAAAGTGATCAAAGCCAAGAAAGAGGTTATCATTAGTGGAGGAGCCTATTGCTCTCCAACCATTCTTATGCGATCGGGGATTGGAGCAAAGTCCGAGCTCGAATCTCACGGTATTGATTGTCAAATCGACCTCCCTGGAGTTGGGAAGAATCTTATGGATCACATGGTAACGACTCATTATCTCTCGGTGTTACATTACTAACAGAATCCTAGATTGTGTTCATGTTCTATGAAACAACCAAGCCAAATGTTACTAATGATTACCTCTTGTATCGTCCAAATGCTTTGGGTGAAGCTTACAGACAATGGAAAGAAGAAAAGTGTGGGCCTCTTTCTACGTTTCCTTTTGGTGCATTCGCATATTCTCGCCTTGATGAGCGTCTTGCTTCGGAACCAGCTTGGACTTCAGCACCACGACGACCAGGCCGAGATCCAATGGGATTGACCAAATCACAACCAAACGTCGAGTTCTTTACTACAGAATGCTATGGTGGCCCAAAACAATACTCTCACTTTCCAGACGGAGAAAAGTCCCATGCCTTTTCTATCATTGCTGAATTATTCGCACCTAGGAGTAGAGGTACCGTCACTTTAAAGTCCAAAGATCCAAAGGATAATCCGGTTGTCGATCACAATTACTTAAGTGAAGAGCTGGATATTGTGGTTCTCAGCGAGGCGTGCAGATATGCGAATGAGATTATTATGAAAGGGAAAGGTACCAAGGACATAGTTGAGGGAAGTTGGCCTAAAGACTTAACGCATCATGCATACACGTCAAGAGAGCAATGGGTCCCCTATATCAAGGATAACGCTACAACCTGTTACCACCCTGGAGGGACGGTCAAAATGGGCAAGGCATCGGACCCAATGGCAGTTCTCGATGAAGAACTGAGAGTTAGAGGAGTCAGGAATCTTAGAGTTGCCGATACAAGTGTCATGCCACTTCTCAATCAAGGACATACTCAAATGCCTGCATATGCAATCGGTGAGAAGGCAGCAGATTTGATAAGGGGTGTCGAGGATTTAGATTTGGCAGCATTGAAGTTGGAGAGGTATGACTCAAAGGTCGATACCAATTAATTGCAAGATGATGCGAGATTGGTGAACATTCCGGGGAGCATGTATAAATTATGATCGTTGACGGCTTTGGCACCCTGTAATTCTGTTATATTTGGCATAATTCACCAAGATATTCTCTTCAATTCAATGTTTCCCGCAGCTGTATTACGTGGTTTGTTTTATTCAGCAACTTCGTTTATTCATTAATTTACGGCAATGAAATCGAGGATTAAAATTAAGAAAATGTTCTTTCCATGTGAGGCGATGTAAGTGACGCTCATATGAGTTTTCTCGTGAACTGCACTTTCCCGATTCTATGCCTAAGATGGCTTTCTGAATTTCACTTAACTCATCCCGTCTCTAACAATTAACCCCGATACCATACATTCTACAAAGATCTCAATGATGTATATCTCAGGTCTTCATCTCTCAACTACCCTCCTCCTCCTCATTCCTTTTATAAATTTCACAATTGCCACACTACCCCCATTACACTACACAATCACTCGCCGGGGCGGCTCATTTCCCGCTCCTGATACTGCCAATCTCACCTTTCTTCAATCCACACTCGCAGATATAAATGCCAGATTCACAAATTCCGAAAGAATATTGAAAGGGAATAAAGTCGTCAGAGTGCCCAAAAGATGGCACGATGGCCAAACCACCAATACCACGAATTCAAAACCCCGATCTGGAACGCATCTTCAACCAGGAACTACTCTTCTCGGCGAATTTGGGAATTTTGGATCTTGGTTTACGCCATTGAAAATTGGCGAGCCTTTCCAGAATGTGGATCTTGATCTCAATATGTTGACGGCGGATTTTGCGATTATTAGTACGCCAAGTGGGAAGGGAAGTTTTTATCTCGAGGAGAGAAGTGGGACGTATAGTGTTAGTAATGATAATGAAAAGGGAAAGGGGATGAATTTTCCGGGTTGTAGGTGTGGGAAGGATGTTGTGGGATTACCATTGGGGTTTGATATGCTTGCTGGCATAAAAGGGGAGAGATATATACCGGTTAATTTTGCACATTGTAGACCACAGAAACAATGGCTTGGTAGTCTGGGGAATAGCGGTGCAAGTCTAGGGTTGGCAGTTGGAGAAGGTTTGGGACAAGTTGGGGGTTGGAAAGGAGGATTGCTGGGGCAGATTGTTAAAAGTGGTGTTGTTGATACTGAGGTCTGGAGCTTGATGCTGATTAATGGCCATGAAGGGGTGTTTAGTGTGGGAGGATCTTCGGTCAAAGTGATTAGAGAGGTCGAAAAATTGATCGAGAAGGAGTTGGAGAAACTCAAGGTAGGCGAGGGAGGTGAATTCCAACCTCAAAATGATGAATTGAAGAGGGATATAGATGACCTGCAATCTGGAAACGATGAACTCAGAAATATGAACGGCTTAGTACTACAATCCGAACGCGATGAGTTGAAAGGAAACTCAGAGATAGGATTGATGAAGAGAGATGACTTTTCATCGGGTAACAATGATTTGACTTGGAAATCGAATGATGAAAGTGTCTGGGAATGGAGTGAAGTTCGAGGTGCAGATGGATGGTGGGAAATTCTCATGAAAGGAATCTGGGTTGATGGAAATAAAGTTATTCAGAACCAGCCGATAGTATTGGATGTAAGCCCGAATACTTTACCTCCCACTTACCTCCACGTTCCACATCCCTTAAACCCCGCTAACACCTCAAGGTCAATACTCCCTACATAATCGGTCCACCACATCAAGTCCGCAATCTATACTCTTCTATATCCGGCTCTCGTCAACTTCCACTACCTTATGATCAGTTCCATGCCTACCCGTGTTTCAACCCACCTCAATTACTTCTCGAGTTTGGCAATTTGAGAGTCAAGGTATTGGATGGCAAGAGGGACGAAGGGGGTTTTACACCCGGAGGAAGATTTAGTTTGGGGAGGATGGAGAGAGGCAGTGGGTATTGTGTGGGAATTGTAGTAGAAGGCAGGTTTGGTAATATGGATGGCTCAAGTGGAGTAGCTGAAAACAATGGTGTGGATGGGAATGGAATGGAAGATATGTGGATTTTCGGAGAACCTTTGTTCAGAGATTTACAGGTCGCTTTCGATGTAAGTTTTTTGAAGAGTCGATTTCCTTTTGGATTTGATACTGATTTTCTGTACATAGTGGAAAGAGAAGAGAGTTGGCATGCAACGACTTTGAGTCTTATTTTGACAATCGCAATGCTATCTGATCCTCATCAAGTTCCAAACAACGTTAATCTCGATTAACATGTTTATTCAAGATGTTTTCTTCATTCGGGATGAACTGTATATTTACTTTATATCAAGCAGTAGGGGAAATTTTAGAAGATCAATAGCACAATGGAAGCACTCAGTATCACGGGATTTACACGTGCTATGTAACACTGCCCCACCTTTCTTCATCTGCAACGCTCGACGGGTGATCAAAATGATGTTTCCAACGTCGAGAAAGACATGATACATATTCTGTCAAGGCAAGTTCTTTGAAGAATATATAAAGTAACATCAGTGTTCTCTCAGATTCGGCAACCGTGCTTTTGAAACGTTACAATGTGAACTCTTTCAGGGAGCTGAACTGTTCTCGAGGTAGGGCTGAAATGTAAGTGCATGCAAGCCAAGAGCCACTGCAGTAGAATATCTACCAATCAACCTTGTCGGGGGAGGATATATTTTCTTTCCCCTTACACAACGCTTTCAAAAGGTGCACAGCCTTTCTCCTCAAGTCCGGTCATGGCCGGGCTGATGTCAGACAATTCTCAACATATTATGAGTAGCTTATGTGCCAGTCTTTAGTCGATTGTTCATTTGCGATTCCTGAATTGAGTTTCTCTTTCTTTTGCGCGCGCCAAATTTATTATGATAGAAATGTCGCAATCCCAGATTGAGCTATTGGAAGGACCGGCGTTGACTCCTCCACCGGGTGTCACCTCGAATTTTGATAATCCTTATTCCCTTCGACCAGCTGCCGATGCTGTCAAGATAGTGACTACTATTCTGGCCACTCTGGCTATTTTCATACGTGTGTACACTAAGTGGAGGATCATTCGAGAGGTACATTTGGAAGATTGTATGTATCATGACATATGATCGTTTGAATTCGGCGCTGACTTGCTCAGATATTGCGGTTGCAGCATGGGTATTTTAATCTTTTTCTAAATACTCTTTCAAATGCTGAGTAGTAAACCACAGTGCGGTTATATTGTTTTTAACGTTACAACCGGGTTTGATCCTAATGTCTTCGGACGACATCAATGGGATATTAGATTGAAGGATTACCAAATATTTCTCTATGTATGTATACTATATCTTGCCGGTTGATAGTAGCTCATAGTGACTAGGGTACCTACATTACATCCATATCATTCGGTCTTGCTATAATGTCAATCAAGATCTCGATACTGCTACAATATATTCGGCTCTTTACTGCGGGGACACGAGACTTAATGTTCTGGAGCTGCCATGCACTCATGTGGATAACCGTCGTATTCTATACGATCCTGCTCTTCATGACAATTTTTATTTGCACCCCTATACCAAAGTTTTGGAACGTGCTGGATACCACAGGTCACTGTCTTGATGTGAATTATCTGTTCCTAGCGACTGGGACGGCGAACACCATAACCGATTTTCTTATTATCTTGCTTCCGCAACCAATCATTTGGAAGCTACAGATGAGTTTCAAGGAACACGTTGGTGTCTCCGCCGTTTTCTCAACAGGACTCCTGTGAGTACATATTAGTGCATACATGTACATGTCTCCACTTACTGATTTGTCTTCAGGGCTTGCATAGCATCCATGGCGCGATTATTCGTTTCATTAAAACTACTGAAAAATCCCGACGCTACCTGGTACACGAGTATCATGTGTATTCCGTCATATGTTGAGCTAGGAGCTGGTATCATCACAAGTTGTCTACCGACCTTACCAAAATTCTTCAAAACGATGTCGCAGATACCCCGTGTTTCAAGGATGTGTAGCTTTGTCTCTTCGCTCTCGAAGTCTTCCAATTCTTCTGTCGAGTCCAAACAGTCGAAGGAGAGGAGTGGTAATTCTTCGTGGAATCAACATCGTAGGATGCCATCGAGATCAAGGCGTGAGAGGAGGAGTTCAGAAAGCTATGATGTTTTGGAGGAGTGGGAGGGACATAATGCTGATTTTTCGACGGTCAGCTTGGGGAATACAGCGACGGCTACGGGCATGAGAAATGAAGGGGGAAATTCGCAGATGAAGTGTGTTGATGAGGTGCGGGGAATTTTAAGATCGGTGCAGATTTCTGTTGTTCGTCAGGATCCATTGAGTGGTGAAGGGAGGGATACTCCTATTGTTTAAGCGATTTCAAGAAAGGCGTTGAGATGAAAAAATATGGGGCATTGGGACGGCAGGAATTATATCTGGAATATGAGATATTGGCAGGGATACCAATCACAGGCATGGAATACATATGCTGTGGAATATTTGGAATCATTACTTTGACATGTAGAAGTATTTTACACAAAACGAGTTATGACACGAAAGTTTTAAGAAATCCAATGTTTTTACTCGAAAGTGAACCTATTTCTTTCAGAAACCCGACTAAACAAACTTCCAAGCTATTCTCATTTTATGTGACGCATGGTTCCACTCATCACTTAATCAAAGAGACTTTGAACTGCGTCTATTGAAACAAAGATTCGCAGAACTGCAACGGCGACTCTTTACAGTCCCAGCTCCGTCTCCTCGGAGCTGGTAAATCGATCTTCGAAGACGAGTATCTTTTGCATCTACTCGACCATCTGCCAGCTCGCTTTCATCCCGATTTTATGGTGTGATTTCAGTGGGAATAATGGAGTATTCTTGGAAATATATGTGTCTCTACATTCCTAGATCTGAAAGATGGTTCGTATGGATCTTCCACGAAATTCAATCTTGCAGCGGCTGGACTTCAGGCTAGGGAATTGTCTGTTGGAATGTTTTGATAAAATTACCCCAATACAACAAATTCATTAGATGAATTCGTGTTAATGCTTGTGCACTTGGCAGATTCGAGTCAATGAAGACGACTGCACACTTCCAACTACTTGAAAGATAGAAGCTTTCATGAAATGCACTTTTGCGGACTGTGTTTACTACATTCGAATTTTCTTTAAACAATAAGCTTTTATATACACCGCTCCGCAAATATCTAGAGCCCTCCGATGACATCATCCTAGTTGCCAGTTTATGGAAGGTAGTTGAAACTATCTAGAACATTAGATTAGGCAATTCCGGAGCTTCTCTGACTCCCACAGAACTGCCTTCCGCAACCTCTGGGCCAGTATAGATTGAATAGCATGACTGGCATGAGGCGCAGAAGAATAACCTTTAATAACTTGTCCAATAAATCATAATTCTCCATCGCAGGTCTGAAACCGACACCAGATGCGCGAATGCCTTGGATCTATCACACAGCGATCGCATCTATTCCAATTCTATTCTCCATTCGCTTTTCCAAGGCGGTACGTTCAATGTCTCCAGGCGTTGTCAGGAAGTCAAGATTGGGATAAAGATTCACTTCACCGGCTGGTGTTCGTTCGGAAGGATAACTTGAATACTGAGGTTCCTTGATTGATGTATCTGACTTTCTGTACCGGCTATAACGCAACCAGGACGATATAGCCGCGCCCGTATTGGCAAAATGTTCGTGGTGTCTGCGGAAAAAAAGGAGTAAAGACGGAAAGCAGCATATTATAACGCCGCTGAACAATTCGACTAATCTGTTTCATCTTCAGTATTTTTGAATCAAGGGTGAAACAATCCGTAAGTTTGACGTACATCGCGATGACAACAGAGACACCTTTCCATGCCTTATCATCACTCCGAACCATAATCACGCGATATATAAGACTCAAAAGGGAGCCAACGCAAGCGCTATCGAAATAATGTCAGCAAATTTAGGGCTTTCATATTGACACGAAGTTATTTGGACTTACATCAATCCCACAGCAAATCCCACCATCACAAGTATCTTCTTCTTTGTCGGTATATGCAGATTACTCACCGCACAAAGTGGCAAGGTAAAAAGGTAAACATCGATTCCTAAAGAGATGGCAGCCATTGGAATGCCTACACGAAAGAACATAAGTTGTCGGGGAGAAAAGAATGTCGTTCTGAATGTTTCACTGCCAAAGGGCGTCGAAAGGTAAAATAAGAGGATCGTGCCGGCTAGGTAGAAAGCGGAGCAGAATGTTGCACCGATGTACACGCAAATTTTCATCCAGCGTAAAGCCTCAAATATCTCAAGGTACATAAGAAATATGGAGAGCTTTACGAAGCCAAAGGCAGGCATGATGAGAATGGCAAGTATATATAATGCCTGATCATATAAGTAACAAGTTCAACGCAGATTCATGAATGAGGGTAAAGTAAAATAAGACTTGCCGCTGTGTTCCTTTTACTGAATAAAGACAATAACGAAACGTCCCAGCTATGCATTCCAACGGTACCACCAGGGCTAACAACTATACAAGCATCAGTGACTTGTTCGCCAAATAGAAGCATCGCTGTACCTATTATAGCTGCGACATATAACATTACAACAAAAAGCTATTTGCAAACAAACTTTTAGATTGTTGTATGAAGGCTAATGGTAGAACTTTACCTACGAAACCGACAAGTAGAAAGACTACAATCCAATCAGTTTCTCAAATTTTTATAGACAGGCCAGGAAAATATCGACTAACAATCGCTCCAAGTGATCCTTCGTCGGATTACCAGACTCGTATACATCCGAATGGTAAAACAGATTGTCATTATAACGGCTAAGATAGCATTGACAGTTATAAGAATGTAACCACGGCGTGCTGGATGATCAGAAAGGGCTGTTATCCCGGCTGGTGCAACCCCACTTGGAATAGTCGCAAGGACCTCGGGGGGTAGATTCAAAATGGTAGAAGCATTCATATTGGTATTTGCAAAGAATGTAAAGCTTTAATGAATTAATAGTCCCCTATAGCTGGGTTGCACAATTAAAAAGAAGCCAAGAAGTGTTAATGAGACGAGCGGAGGATACCTCTACTTAGATACCCGAATCATTACAAGAGTAGAGCATAGGCCTTACAGATATGAACAAAGATTGGTACACGGCAAATACCGCAATGATTAACTTACAGATGGCTTCCATAATTTTTTGAGAAAAGTTTCTGAAAGCGATTAAAGGCCTATGGAAATCTCTACCACTTACACACTCTCCAAAAAAACTCGATATGCGGCTGATGCAACGAATCCCATACTTCTCAAAGCAAAATCTCTCACAAAACAACGATGGCCTCACGGCGATCTCCATAATCAAATACTCCAGATAATTTTAACATCAACGACTAGCATAGACCAAGCATGTCACTCAACCGAAAGCTTAACATTTTCTCAAAAAAGAAACAATGCTGAGAAGATCCTCTTTGTTCTCATACCCCCCTTTTACAAGTTGATATGCGGCACTAGCCGTGATACTTTCTACATCGATAGCAAACCCAAAGTTTGGATACCACGCACGAAGATATCTTCGAGGATTTTAATTGCAGTCCAGCATCAGCTACAATTATCTAGGAAATATGAAATCTCTCACCTTAAGATCTGTTGTGGCTTGATCCTGACTCCAAAGATTCATGCCGCAACTCGCGACTCCATCTATTAGAGAGAAAAAATAATTGCTCTTCGTCTCTCTCCAGTAAATCTTCACTCCGCCGAAACTTCGAGCCATCAAAATTGACAGAAACTCGATAATCTCAAACCCCAATCAAAGTATCTTGCCACACCTCAGACTGCATGCAGATATCCAAACACCCCAAAGAGAATGCCATTTTCGCACTCAAGATAGAATCAATCATAATTAGCGTGTAAACTAGCACTACCGTGGATATAACACGTGTTTTTAACAATGACATCGAAATTTTTTCGCGGTGATTCCCGTTCTTGAATCTAACTCCAATCCTCTCCTGGGTCACCTACCGAATTCTCCTAGTAACACGCACCCAACTTCAAAGAGCAAGAGATTCTAGACCTCGATCGAAACCATACTTTGTATACACCCATACTCAAGAATTCTTCCACGTGAAAACTTATTTTTATAATTGCATTAGTTGACAATGGTATATACACAATCAAATCACCAATAACGGGTGTCGGACCGAAGAAAAAGCAGTCCACAGCGCCTCGCTAAACCCAAATCTATTATGACCAGAAGCCAACTCCAAATTGAATACCATCATCCATGCCTTAAAAATACACCAGACTAACAATTATCCATTCGACAGAGCTTCTTGTATAGCTTCTCCTTCTTCGGGCGTAACCACCATCTCTAACATTTCTAATGCGCACCCAGGAATATCTGGATCAATACCTGACTCGAAAACTAGATCATCTTCTGAGAAATTTAGTCTAGCCAGACAAAGAAGATACTTTTGTGACCCGCCGCGAATGACTGATAACTTCTTTTGCATATCGAATTCATATCGAGTGACCAGGTGAAATAAAAGACGAGTTGCAAGACTAATGAGACGAGCACTGGGGAACGTTAGTAATGTAGTCGCAAAAATTGCAGAATCTCGTACCTATCTTCACGACCCGGTTTATAGTCATATAGGCCATCTAATTCATCGCTTATCAAACTGATGAGTCTACCGATCGCAGTTGGATGGGAAGCAAGTGCATTTCCAGCATAGGGCGATCGTGTCATACCAGTCATTAAGGATATAATTTGAAGACGTAATTTGAGGACAACATCAGGATCAGCTTTAGCCGCGCTCATAGGTAGGCAAGGTACCTCGAATAGTGGGTATGTTAGACGTTCTATAATATGACCAGCGTTTGTGGATGGTCTAAACCTTGGATTATCGACTGGATTGCTACCGAAAGTATCTTTCAGAACACCAGTAGACAAAATTCGCAGCATCCACTCGAAATCTGCTGGTGGTTGATTTTGACTAAGCATAAGGAGAACAAAGTCCCATCTCATCAATTTCCAAAATCTGGTTATATGGTCTTGTTCAGAAACGCAGCCCAGTGCAGCGAGATGAGTGAGAGCTAAGCAGGCGGATACATTAATGTCTTTATCATAAGGATCGCAAGGCTCGCCCTTGAAACGGGGAATTGCGACAAGATCAGCCGTTTTCTGCACCAGGGGAATGAGTTGGTCAATGATATGCGGTGCAATCAAGAGCGTTTTCAACTCCAGTGCAAAGGTGAGAATATCAACAAATAAATAAATGGGAGTGTAACATTTTTCATCCATGCACTTAGACCATAATTGTATTAAGAACAAGCAAAACTCAGCCGGTACTTCGGAAATAGGCTTTTTCATACCAATCCTGGGCATTTCTCCAAGAATCAGGGATGAAAAAGATTCATTTGGGGATGATGGTAGAGAATGCTTGCTAAATGCTTCTAGAGTCCTCAAGTGATCACGGTCCGGTCGGTGATCTAGCATGGCCGCAAGAAAATCCGATCGGTCATCTTGTAGAACAAGTCTCTCTAATATTGATTCATCCAACAATGGAGCCTTTTGTGGTTGAGAAAGTAGATCTGGAACAGGCAGCATATCTAAAGCACTAGCTGAAGGGCTGTCATTAGCTTTGCGTTTCCGCTTTGCTGCTCTCGAAGGCGTGCCAGGTTGCCGTTTTTGAAATTTCGATGGGGATATCTTGCTAGGAGAAAGGAGCTCAATCTCATCATCATCGAACCCATCCCTAAATGGCATTGGCTTTGTCTTCTTCGGGGTCATAACCTGTGCATCCTTAGAATTTTTTGCTTTATTTAATCTTTTAACTCTTTCGGTCTCTTCGAATAAATCTTGCTTCGTGAAATCACGCTCGATTGTAGCATTTCTCGCGGCAATTTCAGCCGCTTCCCTATCTTTTTGTAGTTTTGCTAACTGTTCCGCGTGTAACTTCTCTTTCGCTGCTTGTGTGCGTTCATATTCCTTTTCTGATTTGTCTATTTTGCCACGTAGAATTGAGATTTCGCCATTTTTTGATAGAGTCTCTTGCTCGAGAGCTTTATTTTTTTGTTGTAACTGAAGAGTAGTCAGTGACCTTATTCAATATGATAATTTGCGCCCAGAAATACCTCCTGCACTAGTTTTCTAAGCGCCTCATTGTCACCGCCCGCTACCGATTGAGTCGTCTGCCCAGAAAGGTTCGAGTTCTCTCGTGAAATTGGATTTGAAAATAACTGTGGCGAGTGATCTGGTTGTCGAGGACGAGCAGGCCTAATGTCATTTCTTGGCCTGTTTACAATGTCTGCGTCTCCAAGAAGTTGCCGTTGAAACTGCTCGTGTCGAACAGCTTGATCGACATTGTTTCGAGGTATATATGGCACAACCGCAGGGGCACTTCTGGCCTCATCTATAACGACCGCATCATCCAAGTCATCGTCGTCAAACTCATCCCCGTAATCAGAAGAAGGCGGAGCTTTAATCTGGGCTTGGGTAAATGCTATAGCATTATTTTCGAGTTCGTCTAGGGCATCTGCTGGTATATCATTGAGGAAATCATCATCGGAGAAGTTGTTCTCTCCATCTTCGTGAGGAGCCATTCCATCCCTATAATTATTAAGCTATTCGAAAACATTGATGTGGCAATTATTGGGAGGTATTTTATCAATCCAAATGTTGAACTCGAATTTTAATATTACTTGAATACCTACAGCCACAGCCTTGCGACTTTCTGCCACCGCCTTTCGGAGATCGGAACTAAATTATCCATCTGCGCACTTAATTGTGGAGCAACAGCAATTTCTTTGAAATGCTGCTTTTCTATTTTGCTAGTACCAGGACCATAGGTACTCGTAGATCAACAATAAAAGTACCTGGTAATAACACGAGTATTGATAGGTGTTATTGATTTTTGCATGAAATGAATCTTCTTTGAAAATTTGAATCATTAGAATAAATCACTTCCTGATCCATTGTGAAATCTTTGAACATTTTTTTTCTTGCTTTCCTTCACTAAAATCAGGCTTCGAATAACGCGAATATCACAAGCAAACACTCTGATTTTCCAGGGTTTTTAGCTGACGTAGGAGCGAAGAGGAGCCACAACTTCCTATCACTCCCCCCAAAAAAGTACACCCACTTCAGGACCACCCCATTCTCAACTAATTCACGAAGCTCACCATATCATTTGATTCTGCTTTCGGCGCAGTCCTAGTTCAAGCATAACTTTATCTTTATGAATGTGGAGTGGTGGAACTAGAAGACACTCTTGACGCATCCGGGATTTGGCGACACGGATAATTGAAAGGACGAAGAGGAAAAATCGCACCGCCAAGACCTCTTTAGAATTTGCAAAATCGTACTCCTTGAGCTCTGCAAAAATGACAAAACCAAGGGGAATCAAGTTCAACCATCGAAATGGTCGCGCCGGTAGTGATGGTCGCAGAAGCAGTTTCTCAGATATCAGCGAGGCTGCCTTGGAGCCAAGTTCTCCAAAGATCTCGAAGACAGATGGTGCAAGCGATGAGAAAAACCAAGAGGTGAGATATGCGCCTGTACCTTTATCTTGGGGCGCTGGCTAATGAATTTGGGACGCAGAGCAATGTAGTTGTGCCGTCAGAATACGAAAAGAAGAAGCAGACATTTATTACACGATCAATATGGACATTTGTGATGATTGGGGGATTCTTTGCATCCATGTTCATGGGGCATATATACATCATTGCGATTGTCACCGCAGTACAAATAATATCGTTCAAGGAAGTCATTGCAATTGCAAATGTTCCCAGTCGAGCTCGTCGATTGCGTTTCACCAAAGCGCTGAATTGGTATTGGTTGGCGACGACGATGTACTTTTTATATGGCGAGAGTGTGATTTACTATTTCAAGCACATTGTATTGGTTGATAAAGTTTTGCTGCCCTTTGCGACACATCACAGATTCATCAGCTTTATGCTTTATACTATTGGTAGGG